TAGGAGGGAAAATATCTTTCATATATTTTTGTATAAAAATAAAGTTAATGTTTATAAGATAAATACAAAATAATTATAAATGTGTTAAAGAAGTTGCTGAAATTCTAAAAAGTTAGAAATTCTTTCTGTACTGTTTAATACAGAAAAATAAATAGAAAAATTAACATTGCTGATAAACAATTAGAAGACTGCATGTAAGAAAATGGATGTAATTGCTGTCTTGTTTGATTAGGAAATGTACAGGATGTTTTGCTAACAGAGAATTTTAAACTAATAACTGTCAGTTTTTATACACTATTAAATGAGTAATAGGAGAAAATTCTGCAATTGAATAGATAAACTTAAGATAACTAAGTTCAAAGTTAATTAAAATGCTTATTTTATACTGAACTTTCAACTTTAAAAAACTTAACATGTCATGAAAACTAAACAATTTTAGTAAGATTAGAATAAATATTACAAGAACAAATTTTTTGAAGTCAAAAACAAAAATTACCTTATATAATTCATAAGTATTGGTCAGCATTACTTAAGGATATACAGTCGACCCCCATGTAATGCGGTAGATATGTTCCACTTTATAAGAATTTCACGTTGTAGGAATCCTTAAATACATGAGCCACTCACAGCCCAGCACATGTGCAGTTTGCAGACTACGGCTGTTTGAAAGGTTTTCTTCCATAAAATTAATCAATTCTAGACTAATTTGACTCAACATTTCCAAAAAACGTATAATTTTTGGGAATAATCCGTATAAACTATGCTATAAACAAAAAACTGTAGGATTACTTACCGACTGTGCACCGTTTGACGACGGCATTGCTTAAACTTGTTTTAATTGTGGAGTACGCACCAAACGGCGGGCGCGTTTTCTGATAAGTTATTTTTCGCAGAAAAATAACTTATCAGAAAACGTGTTCAATAAGTTATTAACTTATCAGTAAGTTAATAACTTATCAGAAAACGAGTTCAATAAGTTATTTTTCGCAGAAAAATAACTTATTGAACTCATTGAACTTTGGAGACATCATTAATAGAAATAATTTTTATGGCCATTGAATAAGAAATGTTTTTTTCACAAGAAATGTATAAAATTACAGTACTGTATTAGACTTACAGTACCTAATTTATATACTGTACAGACAATAGTAAACTCAACTTACCTGCCTAAACTCTCCATAGCGTAAGTAGTTCTGCTGCTCGTCCACTATTGATCCAGATTCGACCAATCCTGTTGCAACACGAGTCGGCAATGACGTTTTACTGCATTTTACGAGTCTCTTTTAACATCTTTATACAAATATGGTTGCAATTTTTTGCCGCGATATACGAATCTGCATTATAGGGGGGTCGACTGTAGTTTATTTTATATAAAGCAATTCTAGATTAGATGTAAAAACTTCAATCTTATCTGAAAGTACTAGAATTAATGTGATTAAAGGAGACTTACAAGAGATTACTAAATCAGTAAATATCATAGATCTAAAATTGATTAACTTTTTTCACTCATATATCAGAAAATGAAAAGGGCAGGAAAGGTGAATATTATTTTGCAAATTTTTAAGAAGTAATTTAAATACAGTAGAGCATCAGTTATATGAGATAATTAGGACAGAACAATTTTGGATAACTGATCACCCTTGGTAGTGAAAGAATAAAAAGATAAATATCTTAAAGTAAAAATATTAATTTTAATTTTAGCATTGGTAAAAAAGGTTAAGACACAGAAATTTAATACATGTAAATGATAAGATATAATGGAAAAAATTATCTAATTATTAAAAACAAGCATAGTCTTTCATTGCAATATACAATATTTTGATGAAACTTTGAATTCAAAGTAAAAATACATAATGGAAAATTAATATTAAATAACATACAATACTCATATAAAATTTTTTACCATATTTACTTACATATAAGAGGACCTCGCATGTAGGATGAGATGTGACTTTAAAGATCAAAATAAAGAAAATTAGATTTATTAATACAATTGTAATTTTATTTTGTTTAATCACAAGTAAAATATCAAATGAATGTAAATGCACACATTGTCCTGCAAAAATTACTGGCATTTTAAACTTTAAGGAAAAATCTTGTAAAATCGACAACATAATTTGTTCATGTAAAGCTCGACAATCAGGAACCATTTTTTGCTAATTCTTAACAGTCAAATCCACTCTCCGTCGATTATACTTATGAGTTTCTCCGAATTCTGATTTCTGAATAATTATCTGTTTTCATGTGGGAATGGATTAAAACTTATATTGGGCTCCCGTGTGATTTTGGAATTTCAATCTGAAATTCAATTCAAAAGCTTTTCTTTTCCTATTACTATTCATCGTTACTCCCGACAATATACAAGGATGATTCAAACAACCCAGATAAAATACTTATGTTTTTAAATACATCCCATAAAAAATGCAAATACACAGTTCACAAAAATTATTTGCAAAAAAACAAAGAATCTTTTGCTTGCGCATATAGGACGACCTAGGCATTTGAAGCTGTGATAATTGAATAAAAACCTTGTCTTATATGCGAGTAAATATGGTATTATGGTTTTAAAAAATCATAGCTTATATAACTTAAACTAATATTTTTTTAAATTTACAAAGAATTTATACTAATTTTGAAGGATTCTAATCAAAATAAAAATAGATGATAAATTTAAAAAAAATTAAATATGAAGCAGAACATCATATCAGTATGGAGAGTATCTTATGTCTGACAATGTAATTTTAACATAATGTAGCCAGCTAAAAATGATGTGGAATATTTTTTAATATATGTTGACTTACAAGAATTTTTTAAAATTATTTTATAATGAAAAGAAAGATCAAATTTGTTTTCTCCATCTTTTGCCTTTTTTTCTCTCATTATATTTTTTGATACATGGATAGTTTTATACTTAACCAAAATTAATTAGGAACTTTTGCAAAATACTGTATTTACTCATGTATTAGATGAGGTTTTTTCATTTTTCACTGTTTCAAAAACCTAGGTTGTTCTGTATGTGCAAGCAAAAGATTCTTTGCATTTTTGCAATAATTTTTGTGAACTGTGTATATTCATGCTGCCATTGTAGCAGGATGCTATTGAGGTCAAGGTAAATGTTGCTTTCAAAGAGATGGTCTGAAAATAGCTAGTCACTTAACAATGATTATTAATGTAGTTATTTCATATTTGTTAAATTGGTACTTTTAATGAAAATTTGCACATTCTGAATCATTAAAAATATACTTTTTTCTGGTCATGCTCATTATAATCTTTTGGTTTTGCAATGTGGGTATCAGGTGCATGGAAAAGCATTCCTCAAGAGCTGATAGCAAAATCATTCAGGAAATACTGCATTTCAAATTCACTAGACGGATCAGAGGATGATGCTTTGTGGAATGAGAGTGAGAAAGAGGAGAGTTATAACAAAGCTTTGGAGAATGAGTCTGAGTAGACAAAATGTGATAGATTTGGTCAAGAAAACATGGTTGTTTGTCTTAATACATGCATTTGATATTTTATTTGCAATTAAACGAAATAAAATTACAATTATATTAATAAATCTAATTTTCTTTATTTTGATCTTTAAAGTCACACCTTGTCCTATATGTGAGTAAGTACAGTAATTAAGAATGATCTAAACCAGGGCTTCTTAAACTTTTTTTATTCATGATCCCATTTATGATTGTGATTTTTTTTCGCGACCCAAAAAAAATATAAAATAAAATTATATACAAATTTGCAAAAACAATAATGGTGTACTGTCACAGTTCACTCTTGTGTTACAATGGAACAGAGACAACTGAATACACTGAAAAGCACTACACTGAATACACTAGTTCACACTACAATCAGTGTTGCTGAATCATTGTCTCGCTGCACCAGAAGTGACTAGTTATGTACTGGATCATTAAAAATGTATATCCGCAGATACGGATACAGATACAGATATCCGGCACATCACTAGAAGTGACACAAAGTGTAACTCACGAAACCTATGACATAAAGCATGCCATTTTCAAACTCTCACAAATTATTTTCAATATTTTGCATTAAAATCTCACACACCCATAGTTTAAGAAGCCCTGTTCTAAACTAAATGAAGTAATTAGATTTTATAGCAACATATTATAAGATAATTTTTTGTGTGTTAATTGTAATGTAATTTACAATTGATTTAAAAATAAATAATCCACACATTAAGCTAGTTAAGTTTTAATAGCTCATGCTTCCAGCTAGCTATATAATCATCATCATACTTCAGAATATAAAATTCAAATAGAAACTAAGAAAGTAAGTACAAAGCATTATGACTAATACAAAAGTTATATCTGATGATGATTATACAATTTTCAAAAATTTTTATCATGTTTCCATGATTTTAAAATGCACCATGAACTTGAAATTACATTTTAAGAATTCTTTTAATGAAGAGAAAAATTTTAAATAATTTAATTTTTTTATTAGGTTTTGTTAAGTAGTAATAAGTTAAGAAAAATGTTTGCAGTAAACGTATAATTATTTTTCATTTGAATGCTGCCATCATAATATTGTTTTGAAGACACATTTTAAACATGAAAAAGAAGTTTAAAGTAAACATTTGTTACTAGCAAAGTTTATTTGACCTGATATGATCATTGCTGTAGATAAAGTATTTATTTATAGCCAACTGCAACACTTGTAATATTCCTCTCAAAGGTTGAGTGCACATGTACTAATACCCTGTTCCCAGTATAAAACAGCCAGAGTACATTCCTTTAACCGCAAGAATTTCCAGATGGTAATACATTCCAGAACAGTTTGGGTCAAAGATCAACTTAAACCAGTCTTTGCCGTTCTCTGGCAAGGACTGGTTAAGTTGAAACTACACACTATAGCATTATCATATAAACACTTCTAACTTCTTATTGACATACCTGTACATTTATTATGTATATTTTTTAAGTTTTAGGATTTAAATTTTTAAGAATTAACTGATTTTTTATCTTTTTTATTTTTTTCAGTGACTATGAATATCTCCGTAATCATTTCCGTCAGCAACACTATCTATGTGAAGAAGGAACATGTCGCGATGAAAAATTTACTGCAGCATTTCGAAGTGAAATTGATTTTAAAGCTCACAAAGCTGTTCAACATAGTAAAAATTTAAGCAAGGCTCAAGCAAAACAAGCTCGAACTCTAGAACTTGAATTTACAATAAGGCCACACAGTTCACAACATAATAGTGAGAATTTTTATGTATTAAGTTTATACAGTGGGTGATTGGTTAATGAACACTTTCGCGAAAGATTTTTATGATCAGACAATGAATACATGTTCAGATTACGAACACTTCACTAAACAAACATAAAAAAAGAAGTGACAAAAATAGCAAATATCGATTGATTTTCCCTTGTCTTCAGGCAACAATTTGAAACTTTTTGGAGCGCTGGAGATGTCGACATCGACACTCAACCCGGAATATACTGATCAGATAGTATTCCTTTGAACTTTGAAACTCTCCCTTGTAATTCCAGGCTTTTATTTTTCACGAGATGTCTGATGTTGCTGGGCAGTATGGCTTGAACAAATCTACAGTAGGGTGCAGTTCAATCTTATCTAAGAAGGATACAGTATAATTAAGAAGACTCAAGCAGCTAAAGGAGTAACAAAAATCACTTCTGAGAAATAAAGAACATTGAAGAACTCATAATGGAACCTGAAACAGATCCGATGACAGAATGCCAAGAACTCTTGAGTGCAGAACACCAAGAAACTCAGCGAGATATGTTTTATTATGAAAAAGAAGATTAATGCTGATATCTGCTATTAATTAAAGATCTTTTGAAGAAGTGGGGGATGTCAGATCAATGGTCTTAGAATGGCATACAAACCAGGTTGAGGTTAATAAGCTTGGGGATCTCTACAATTACAATGCAATTACTGTAATTACTTCTGAAAATCCTGAAGAAGAGGGAAAAGCAATTGACATTAGACAGATTCTTTAATCCCCACAAACAAAAAACATAACTAATACAAATGCAAGACTGTGTATATATGTATTTTTATTATTACATAAAAATGAACATAGTAAGAAAGTATATACAGTAATACCTCAACTTACGCTACCCTGACTTACACGAAGCCTGAGTTACGCGATTTTCAAATCTCTTTGATTTGTCTTTTGTTTGAGCGCCACGCAGCTCTTGATTACTTACTCCCCCCACACTATTGTTCAGCTTACGTGTTTGGACGTGTCACGCGGAATCAACACATAGCTACAATTTATTTTGTGTTGTTTATTTCTGTGTTTGTTATATCTACAGAGACTTGAGAAACTCTATGTGGTGATTTCTTGTAACTGTGAATGAATCAAAAGATGAGATAAGATTAATGAGAACATTTATTAGCTTACATACATTCAACTTGGATTTTACACAAATTGTGAAATTATACACTGACTTACGCGAATTCGACTTACGTGGTTATCGCTTGGTCCCATCTATTGCATAAGTTCAAGGTATTACTGTATTTTTTTATTTTTTTGGGGTCTCCAGAACGAATTAATCAAATTCCCGTACAAACCTGTGGTAAATTGATAATTGGTTAATGAACAATTCGGATAGCGAACAAAGTCTTGGAACGGATTATGTTCGTTAACCGATCACCCACTGTAAAGTAGAAGAGGACAAATAATTTGTTTTAGAATTATAAAATAATTTCTCAATTATAAATGAAAAGTTAATGTATTTAATTATTTCAGGCTCATTATCATTACATTCTGAAGGAAGGGTCCGACGTCATGATAGGTATGAACCTCAGAATAAGACGTATCAACCAGTGAACTCTCGGTAAGTAGATGATGATAATTACAAATAATATAAGATCATATTTTAAGATTTGGGTTTTCAGATAAAATATATGCAGAATTTTTTATTTATGATAGTGATTGTAATATAATTAAAATACATTTGTATTAAAACATATAAATATGAATTTTTTCAGAAATGAAACAAGAACAGACAGTCCAGATTTTGGAAATGAATCTTATACTGTAAAATCTAAACAATCTTTGGATACTTGTAGTGAAGAGCAGTTCCCATGTTTGAGTTTGTCTGCTTCTGCATCAGGTCAGAATACTTCTAAAATTAATAACAAAACTATGGCTAATTGTTTGAACAAGGATACAAACATGAAATCTTCAAGTAGTGAATGGGTGGTGAAAAAAACAATTGGGCCAAATGATAGTGATTTTCCTGCCTTAAGATCATCTGTTCACCTTCCAGGAGGACAGAGTTCTGCCTCATCATCTTCTGAACTTGTAGTTAGTTCTGCTAGGCATCCTATAAATCAACCACATAAAACAGTTTTATTTCATTTTAATAGTCAAAATAGTAAGAAAAATCCAACTCGACATGCCACTAATGTTTCCATTAAAGTTGCCAAACCAAAAAAGTTAAATCTTTCAGTTGAAGAAAATCATTTTAATTCTAAATGCAATAACAATAATTCAATGCAATCGTTATCTCGGACAGAATCATCAAAAACAGAATTTTACACTGGTACAACTGGATATCACAATGGGGCAGTCAATTCAGTAAAGAGATTAGTCAATAAAAAGATAAATAATGATATTTTACTTCCTTCAAATAGTGCCGAAGAAAAGAAAACAAAACAGCAGGAATTACTGATACCTGTTTCAAAAGAGACATCAGATAGGAGTAACGGAGAGCAGACACAACCATATATTACTGTTAAATGTAAATCAAAAAAGAAGAAGTCAAAGACAATTAGTTTACTTTTAGAAAATGAATTAAAACAATCAGAAATGAATGGCGAACATGAAAACAAAAAAGAAAATTCTGTGACTAGTGAATATAATCACTTATGTGAAAATGGAAATACTGAAGAATTGTATGATTCTTTAAAAATCAGCAAACTCAATCAAAATAGTGAAAATAGTGATTCAGATGAGTGTTTGAAACAGACTAAAAATTTAGCCATTAGTGATTTTCCAGAACTTCCATCACAAATGGAAAAAAAGATTTCTGCTCCACCAGGTTTTGTTACAAATATTGTTCCACCACCTGGCTTTAAAACTGAAAATTCTGTCCAAACCAATTCTGTGCCTAACATTAATATTTCCTCAAGTTATCATAACTACATCGAACCTCCAGATTTTCAATATCGAAACATTGTACTAATACAAGAAATTCAGAAACTTTTAAGAAGCAACGAAACTCTATTTATGGAATTTAAAGCATTGTCTGGACAATTCAGACAATGTCAGATTTCTGCAAAGGAATATCACGAAAAATGCCTTGAAATGTTAGGAAAGGATAATTTCATGAAAGTAATATCTGAATTATTAGTGTTACTACCAGACATTAAGAAACAACAAGAATTATTAAAAGTTCATACTTCATTCTGTCGTAAACAGGCAGAAAACAGTGGCGCTGTACCAAAGAATAGCACCTGGAGCGAAGCAGAGAAGGATTTCGACTTTGTTGTTTGTGACTTCTGCAAGCAAGTACTGTGGAACAAAGATTTTCAAAGTCATCAAGCAAGGCATACTAATAGTGATTATTTAAATGAAGATGAAGTAGTAAAGAATAGCAACTAATTTTATAAAAACAAAATGCAAAAATTTACTTTTGCATTTGATGAGTTTAAAATATTTATTAATTGCCAATGCCATTCTAAGCTTTATTATTTATCTTCATTTTGGATAATTTAACAATGAGCAAAAGTAGTTCAGTATTTTTCTGTTTGTTTTTCTATTAACCATCACTCAGACGAAATTTTTCAAGTACATAAAAAAAAAATCTGACATAAATTTTCAATATTATAATAGTATAAAAATTGACAAATATCAAAACAGTATGATTTATTACAAAATATTCAGTTTAGTTCTTGTTTTTAAAAACACTTAAGTTAATTAAAGTGATGGTTGTTTTGTTTATTAGTTTATTTAAGAGCAAATGCATTTCTGTTCTCTATCATTACACTCAAAATACTTGTAAATTGTTGTAAAGAAACAAACATCTATAAAATTTGTTGAATAATAAAAACTAAAATATGATATTTTTGACTTTATGAATAGAAATTACAAAATATTTTAAAAAATAATAAAATTTTCAACATTAAATCAGTGCTTTATTTTTAAATAAAAATGCCATGAAGAACACAGACTTTCATTTTGTAACCTAATACAGGAAATCTACATTAATTCAAACTCAGATAGTTCGAAATTTTGTTAGTTCATAACTACTTTTGTCCCTGCCAGAGATATAGGGATTTACATGTTAAATAATTCAATTAGTCAAAACACAACTACTTTGAAATTCAAAGTGAAAATTCTGTCCAAATTGTGATATGCATATGTTAACTCATTTATTTTGTACTTCCATTCTATAAGAACAATAGACCAAGAACAACTCTAATCTGGTTAATATGGCTTTACTTTAATAGTAAAACATTTTTGGGTGTCACCACACATGTGGATTACCCTTTATTCCCTTATTTCATAAAATAAGGCTGGTTTTCAGGATTGGAAGATTTGGCTATGAGTAGCAGATTGAGATATTTGTAGGGCTTTAGATTACTATATTTGGGCAACTTATTACTTTTTAGGTCACTTTAAAACTTTAAATAATTTCAGCTCTATTTCAAAGAATTCTCTTTAGACTTTATAAAACTTATCTGGCAACCTGTGAGGTTCTTACTGGACACCTGCCATTTACCTACCTGCAGTTTGCTTATATTATTATTATTATTAATTAATTAAAATAGCATTCTGTATAAATAATCGTATTTCATTTGCTTAATAAATTACATCAGTTACACATCATTTGGCATATTATACAAAAATATATAAATCTCAGATAATTCAAAGTTATGATTTTGGATCTCGATGGAGTAATACTCTGGATTTCGAACATGAGTATTTCTGAATGAATTACTGGTTTATTGAGCATCTTGGGCAAGAAATTTATCTATTTTAAGTGCACATTCAAGTTAATTCTCTGGACAGTTTTGAACTATTAAGTAGTTAAATGTTAACTCTTCACAAATATGTACCTGTATAGTTTTTGAGAATATTTTTAGTAAACTAAGTATTGTGTATGAAACGTAATCTTTATATTTGGTCATATTGTTTCAAATTTAATAATACTACTATTAACTATCCTTAAATAAAATCCATTATATAATGATCTATTTAAGCCACAGTTTACAGAAATCAAAATCAGTGGTTTAAATGGAATAGTGAAAAATTAAAGACAAAACTAAAGTAATTTTTTCCAGTCAAAATTAGACTAGATAATTTATCTCAGTAAGAAATATACATTCAAAAGTGCAACTGAGATTTGCTATAGTTAAATTTAATTAATTGATCAGCAGTGACAAGTGAAAAACAATTTATTCTTAAATGATAGAACAAAATAAACTTTCAATGAATAGACCTCATTATCTATACTCTTAATGATTTTCTGATTGAAAATGATTAAGTAGAAACACATACGATTGTTTCATTTTAAATTATCCATTCTAGATCGACTGCATGAGGTGGAGAAGTTATGCATTATCGGGTTAATACTTAAATAGGGACCAGTTTCCCCATAAAAAGCCTCCTGATAGGAATTTCGCCGTATAAATTCAATATAATCAGTTTTCAAAATCATAACAAAAGATTTAATTTTTTAAATTAACAATATGCCCTTAATCCCTTTTTTAAAATATTTAATACAAATATGTGTAATAAAGTATATTTGTATTAAATATTTAATTTTTTTGTTTTCTATCTATCCTATGCATGCTAAACAGGCCTTTATATTCCTCATACACCTTGTGATGAATTCAATAAGGCCCATAATGTGGGCGGAAGGTGGTGAGGGACGAGACCAACATATTCGGGGACCAACTGCTCACGAAAAATTTCTAGGTTCTCCCGGGTACTCCAGAGCGGTAGGTTGACCCCTTAACTGTTTGCCATCCTGTCGTCAATTTAATTTTATGTAAAAGCATTAAAAGCACATTCAAGAAAAATGAAATTTTGCGAAATTCGTATTATTTGCTGAAATGGTTTTGTTTTGGCATTCAAAATTTAAATAATAGACAAAAACCGATGCTATTTCTAAAATAGATTTACAGTATATCGACATTTGATTCTGTTACCAGGAAAAGCTAGTCGAAACTTTTATTTCAAACACTTAGTTCATAAAAAATAATTATTAACTTATTTCCTTTTTGAGTTTACTAAGAGAAGTTTCTATTTATAAATTGTTCTTTTCGCAGATCATTGAGACTTCGTGAAATAAAAAACATTCTAACTCCGCTTTGGGGACACTAAGAGGACCTCTTTTAGCAAGCCCATTATGGGTTCTACCAGGCCCGCAATGGGGCGGACGGGTGGTGAGGTATGGGGTTTAACATATCTGGATGGGTCAAAAGTTCCCCAGGAATTTTTTGACTACGTCCTGATTCGATTCCGGGTCCCCCAGCAGTGTAGGCTGCCGCTGCCACCTTGCCTGCTTGGCCATCCGGCCATAGAGACAGAGAGTTGTTTGTTAAGTTATGGCAACGCAACACTTGACTGATCTGCGTGGGGATGCCTTCCGGGAGGTTTTGTTAAGGGAAATTAGCCTCTATTTAGGCATTACAGATGTGGAGAAAACACGAAAAACTCCACATGGCCAGCCCGATCCAAGCGAGCCGCGAACCCACGACCGAACTCCCAGTGTTCGGTCGTGAAGACCACTTGGCCACTGGTGGACCCTAGGGACAGAGAGAGAGAATAGTAGAGGCATTAGAATGTTTACTCCATTTGGAGGAAAAAACTTTTTCTTTGCAAGATTGTGCATTAAATTTTAGATTAACATTTATTGTTTGAAAGAAATTTTTGATAACATTAGTATTTAGTCCCGCGAATGTATTAGGGCAGTGTTTCTCAACCTCTAACGAATCATCGCCTCCTTCAACGCAGTATCGCCCCCTTCAATAAAACCGTTACGTAGTATCGCCCCTTCAATAAAACCGTTACGTAGTATCGCCCCTTTACTATAAATTCCGATGCCGAGGGCCAAGGCTAACGCCAAATTCGTACTGCATTGAATAGACTAGTGACTAGGATAATGTTATTTGTTTAATTATTGTACGATATAACGAATAAAATATCTAATTATTCTTAATATAATGTTTTACTATATTGCCCCCCAAAATATAAATTGTTACTAATCGCCCCTCAACATGGAAAAACGCCCACATGGGAGCGATATCGCCCCCGTTGAGAAACACTGTATTAGGGGATGGCTAAAGTATATATTGGAAGAACGTCCTGCTTTCAAGTTGCTATTCCAGTGACTGAATTTTATTATATCATTGTTTGACATTAAACCGAAATATATTAAAGATTTTTCAGAAAATTATTAAATTTACGTTTTTATTTACATCTATATATATAAAACTCAAAGGTGACTGACATAGTGATCTATCAACGCACAGCCCAAACCACTGGACGGATCGGGCTGAAATTTGGCATGCAGGTAGATGTTATGACGTAGGCATCCGCTAAGAAAGGATTTTGATCAATTCTACCCCCAAGGGGATAAAATAGGGGATGAAAGTTTGTATGAAACTTTGTCAATTTTAAACCGATCGGGCTGAGACTTTGCATGCATAAAGCTACTATGACGTAGGCATCCCCTAAGAAAGGATTTTGATAAATTCCACCCCTAAGGGGATAAAATAGGGGATGAAAGTTTGTATAAATCTTCTTAGATTTTCGACTGATTGAACTGAAATTAAAGATTGGAGCTACTATGATGAAGACGTCCGCTTAAATAGGATTTTGATAAATTCAACCCCCATGGGGGATGTAAATGTATTAGTTTGAACCTATCAGTACCTAATGGAACGAATAAATTAAGACGAACAAAATAATTTTTAGTTCTAAATGTTGACAATAGATGGCGTTAGTAGTATTTTAAAACGCGCTATCGTTGTGTTTTCACTGAGTTACATATACCCGATGATGAGTGGCTGCCGTATCTAATAGTACATACTATACCTAAATATTTGACGGGGGTCAATTAGGTATAGTTTTTGCGGGGATTATATTGTACCCTTTGTACATAGTTGTACAAAGAAGTTTTGTAGGCCCTAATTTTTTACACACGCTAAACGAAAGTAAAGCCGCAAAAACTATACCTAATTAATAATAATACTTCTTAACGCGAGCGAAGCCGCGGGCAAAAGCTAGTATTAAATAAATTTATTTTATTTCGTAACGAAGCAGTTCTTGTTCTTTTCTTTTGACCATTTTTATATAAAAAAAGAAAGAAGGAAAAATGGAATACGGCCTGCAATCCGATCTGACTAGTATAATGTCGCGAGCATTGTCATAATTATGCAGGTCGTCGACAGGGAAGGGAGCTGAGAATTTTACTCCGGGCTTGGAGAAAACTTCACAGCCCGTAGTCCTATAAATTGCGGCCGGATGGCCGAGCGGTCAAGGTGGCAGCCCACCGCTCTGGGAGACCCGGCTCGAATCCGAACGGGTCGAAAAATCCCTAGGAATTTTTCGGGGGTTGGTCCGTTCGGATATGTCGGGCCCCGTCCCTCACCACCCGGCAACCCCATTGTGGGCCTGGCCGAACCCATAATGGGCTTGCAAAAAGAGGCCCTCTTAGTGCCCAGAGGGCGGAAAGAATTTAAAAAACACCCTATAAATTAATGTAATTTTTACTAACAAAAAAATAAATAAATAAAATATTTAAGACCGTCTTTAATTAATAAAAAAAATATTCTCCAAATTTCGTTTGTTCAAATAAGACTGTCAAAGAGGCCAGCTAAGACGAAGAGGGGACCGCTCTACCCCCAAACCCGTACAATTTCTCGGTAGCCACGGGCATATGACTAGATAATTAAATATATATATATATATATTACAAAATACTAATTGAAAAGTGACAATGTTTTAAAATATAGACAAAATTTATTTTAAAATATGAATTCTCAATTTATGGCTTCAAATTCACAATACTTTACTGAGATTAAACATTACGTGAATTATTTTCAATATTTACTTTATAAAAATTTTACACTGCACCAAAATTATTGCACGAATCATTAATTTATAAACTTGAATTAATTAATAATAGAACATTACGAAGAATTTTATTTCGTAATTTTGTTGATGAAGCCAAACGATCGAGAACTGGGAAAAAGATTGCAATTTATGTAATTTTTTGTTTTAAACGCTAGGTGGCGTAAGAGAATAATGTTTTGTAGGAAACCATGGAGATCGTCTGACAAGTTAATAAAAAATTGAAGATTTTGGGATATTTTCCCAACCAGCGGTAAGGTATTTAATTTTTTAATAAATATTTAATGTTTCTGTTAATTATGATATATTATATTTGTGATTATGTGATCATAAATACAATGTTAGCGATGTAAGTTGATTGATCAAGAAAGCTTCGTGTTTTGATGCGTGAATATAAACCTTTAAACTACAATATTGCGAACAAACAGGAAAAAACACACCAATGTAATAAAGTTGTGTAACTAGCAAGATTTGTACACTTTTATCGATACTCTAATTATTCATCCGTGAAAATAGCAACAGTATTTGGTAAATGATAAAATGAGCCAAATAAAATTACCTAAACCAGAAAGACGTTTAACATATCAAGCATTGATAAAATAATAAGGTTACACTGTTTATAAATACAAAATTAATTGTAGAATAAGTATTGAAATGCAGAAGTCTTGATCCATAGGAAAGAATAACTAGAATGTTTCTGTTTTGGTTATTTATTAAATGTTCAAATTGAGATTGCATGTATGTCTCGTTCTTTCATGTAGACTTTTTCTAAATGTTTTTTTAAGAGGGAAACAATAATTTGAACACTGTTCTAAATGCTTTCTTATGGCTGTTTTATAACTCTTAGACAAGTTTGTAAATCATTAAAAAAAACTTCATTAGCATACTTTTGAATTTAACTTTAAAACTGAAACCAAAACTAAAATATAAATAACCTTACAATTGCACGATGACCTTACACTAGATTAGGGGACCGGACATTCCTGGTTTTGCCTGTTTTTGATATTTGATAGTAGAATTG